AGAGCATATTTCACTTTCTAATGAAGCTTTAATAAAAGCGAAACATTAGATTTATAAATGTTTCCTATTTCTTCTTTATCCTATCATTCTATTGAATTCCAATCCATATTTGATCTCAATCTTGTAAATATGAAATTATTCTTGTAAATAATATATTGTATTTGACATATTTGTTATCAATTTGCTAGGAAAGAGAATGTCTAAATCTGGTTTCATATGTTTTGACTTTATTAGAAATCTCAAAAAAAGCTTTTTAAAACAAATATTACCAAGGGAGTATATAGTAATAGTGATGCAAAGGGAAAAAAAAATCCTTTGAATTTTTTTTTTTTTTTTTTTTTTTTTTTTTAATACTAGAATGACATAGGTTTAAAATTTCAGTTTATACTATGAGTAACAGAATGTTAACTTTTTTTTTTTTTTTTTTTTTTTTTCATTTTCGAGACTTAGGTAGTGTCAGTATTATACTTTTTGTACTAGTTTCTTCCTTTTTCAGTACAGTGGAGAATACATCAACTAAAATTGTGATAAAGACAACAAAGCAAGAAAACTGACTTAAATGAAATGATGTATGACTGAGATGGGATTAATAATTTCCTGAAATTACAGACACAACTTAAAAACAATTTACCCACAGGCTGTACAAGTAGTCACAATGAAATTATGTAGTGATGTGTCATTGTTGAAACTTATGTTCCAATGAGCAATCGGTGATTAGATTTGGATTTCTAGTGTTAGTTCCCATAACATTAAATGAAAATAGCTGTACAACATGATTAATATATTATGGACCCTAATTTCAAATTGGATTAGTCAGTAAGTTAATAAGTTTTATTTGCAAGGTTTTAAAATTTGGGTTACAATCTATTCCTGGTTTTATGTTTAGCCTTAATATACTGAAAAGTTCTCACTGGGATCAGCTTCCGAAATCTAACCAAATACCAGAATTTAAAAAAAAAATCTTTGGATGGTTTGTGAATTTTTAAACACCCACTTTATCTTCTTTTTTTTTTTTTTTTTTTTTTTTTTTTTTTTTTTTAAATAAATTAATATACAGTTTAGTTACTTGACAGTTTATAAAAAGTTTCTAAACCTTTCATATTTTATTTAGCTAAAAAAATTGATCAGGTTTTCAGATTATTCTCTTTATTAATAAATTGCATTTTAAGAAATTTATTTCTACTACAGAAGAAACAATGTGAATAATTAACTGCATAATAATTTACTCAATTTTTAGTCAATACTAATACCACCTTTGCATAGTGATTTGCATCTCGGTCAACAATATTCACAAGACAAACTATTAATTGATTAAAGACTGATGTCAAGAAGTGTAACTCTTTATTCAACCTTGTTTGTGTGACTCACCTTAACTTTGCACAGATGGTCACCAGTAAATTGATTATATGACTAATGAAAGTAACTGATACATAGTATAAGATCATTTTCAGTAACTATAATTCTGAAAATATATAGAATTCTTCAGAAGTACTTTGTTAATTAAGGGATAGGAAATTAAATTTATCAATATTATTGTAAGAATAAAATATGAAAAGTGCAGAGGTTATATTAAGATGATGTCAAAACTTTCAAGCTTAAAGATTTTACAAAGTCTTTTATTTATATAACTTCTTAGCTAAGACTTGTGATGCTATGTACACAGGGTCAAATCATTGGCATTCCCTTTGTATTCCATTGGCAAGGAGGAAGTTCCACTTAAACAGCTTCTTTGCCAGAACTGTTACTTTGAGAACAGACTCCAGAGAAGATCACTATGAACTTAACCTCTTCATGTCTAGGGTCACTCATTAGCTATCCTACATACCTCTATAACATGCACACCTTAATTTATACTCCTTTTAACAACCTCATTCAGTAACCCTCTATCTTGAGTGGACCTTGGGCTTTGTATTGGGAGAACAATAGTTTCTCTGGTTTTCTATCTTGGTTAAATTTTATGTCTATCATAAGTGTGAATAGTTTTTAGTTCAAGGAATTTTTTTTTTCTTGCTGAAACCAGTGATCTAACAGTGTTGTGTGGATCAAAACAAGTGATTGTCTGAAACTGGCAGGTCAGGAAAAAAAACTTGTGAAAGAAATTTCCATCTTTGTTCCATGATAGTTTGCTGCTTTGTATTTTCAACAAGAGGACAGGTGTTGTCATCCATCAAAATCACTGATTAACTTTGTTGCTTAGAAAAGATTATTTTCTCTTATACTGCTTCAATGAAGCAAGTCAGTTGCTCACTGTAGTCTTATAAAGAACAGTTTGTTCAAACTCCAACAATCTATAATGGATTCCATTTGAATCCTACCAAACACTCAGCCCTCTTTGAGTTTGTTACTTTCACTTTCATGCAAATGCTCTTGGGAAAGGCATGAATCCATCTCCTCCTTACAACTATGGGTTGAATAATAGGACTTAGATCTGAAAAAAATAATTTTCAAAAAATTGTTAATGCAATATTCACTTGCAAAAAAAAAAGTTTTTCTTACAATGTTTCACCTTTAAATAACCTACAAAGAGTTGATAAACCCTAAAAACAAAAAGTGATAAAAAAAAAAAATAACAAATCAATCAAAAAAAACTACAATCAGTCCTTCTCTCAGTACATTTCATTCAGTTTCAGATACTGAAGACTGTTATGGAACTGGTCATGATTCTCTTTCATTTTAGGTTCTTCCAAAAAAAAAAAAAAAATCCATTTTTATTGTAGATGGCTATCTTCTCTAAAAATGAGTTTACTGTCCTGTTTAAGAAGAGTAAAGGCAAATGTTTAAACACTGAACAATACTCCTTTTTGTAAATTTAGCTGGAACCCAGTTTTGAACTTCTAAATTTTTCTAAATGTTTGTAAATATCAGTTAACTGATTACATAAGCATTAAAGATCTGGTGAAATTTACTAACTTTTCAGATTTACATTATGTAAAAGATGGTGTTGGGAACTTTTGCATTGATTTAATATTTTTTATACAGCTTATTTTTGTAGTTTATTTAGAAAAGAATTTGCAGCACAATTTGGCAATCTGATATGAAGTAAGATAACAGATTATATTGCATTTTCTTAGCTGGCTTTTTATTCATAAAGAAAAAAAATATAAACATACATAAATAAAATGTGTGTGTATGTGTTCATTATTCATTTCTTTTTATATTAGCTGTTTAGAATGCTGACTAATTTGAGATTAGAAATCCTGGATATCATTGGTATTTTGTTTGGATTATTATTGAGGTAGTTTTAAATTCTGACCCAATGGTCTATTCAACTAAGCTATCTACCCTTCCTCCTTCCAATACCCAAATAAAATATGGCAGTACTTTGCAATTAATTTAACCATGCAGTTTATGGGTTTCATGGCATTCTACATGCAACAGGAAAATAAAGAGCATTAAAGCATTTTAATAGCAAGAAGATATTAAATACATTTCTGGATGCCTTCTCACAATTCTTTCATCATTCTTGGGTTTATTTATTGTAAAATTGAACTTTTTTTTTTCTTTCTCTCAAATCTGTAGCTGAAAATTTCTTTTAAATATATGAAACCTGAATAAAAATTTCATTTTTTTTTTTTTTTTTTAACAAATGTTTGTAGTTTTTCTGATTTTATTTACATCTTACCAGTTCAGGTTTCCTTTTTTGTATTTGGTTGATTTATTCTGTTTTAAACAAATTTGCTATATTCATGCTAAAACTTAATTAACATTTATGATATATTGTTAAAAACATTTTTGTAAACATTAAAAAGATAATATCATTATTGCATTTAGTCTTATTGTAGTTTTATTTTCTCTGGTTATTAATTTCCATTTGTGATATTAAAAATATTAATTTCTCATGAAATGATTTCAACATTACCTTTTTGTTATTTGGCTTAGTTTGGTAAATATATCGGCTTAAAAATGGGTGATCCCGCATTTGAATAACTGGATTAGTTACTTGTACAAGGGGTTACTGAAAAATCTCATTTCAACCAAGATGCTCTTACAAAAAAATTTTAATGTTGGTCAGATTTGGGGAATCAAGTTGGGCTGAGAACTTTTCTTTTGTAACATCAAATTTAATACATAGCCTCATGTTCCATAATAATTACTAAGTGACCAATGACGGTAGCAAGTATGAGCAGTCTTATTTTGTACAAATCTTCTGGGGAAAGACTAAAAACTTCCCCTACACCTTGTAGAGATATTATAACTTGAAATGAAAACTTAAATTTGAAAACAAATCTGATATTAGGGAAATACATCTTGTAAAATTTGCACAAGCAATACAGGAATTTCATTTATAGTAAGAATATTAAACCTTTATCATTCTGTACATCACTTCATTTACAGTACAAAAAGTTTATCTTGCCATTGAAGGTGATTCTAATCCCTGAACAATATTATGTTTGAATTTCATAGTTATGTTATCATATCCTGCTATCGCAACAAAAAACAACTTTGAGAGAAATTAACAACAAGGATACTACAATTGAGAGGCCTTAAAAAAGAATGCAGAGGAAAGGGAAGTAATATTAATAATGGAGAGTACTAAAAGTTAATCTGGCCTGTAAAATTTTGGAGAACTATATAACAAAAACTTTTTGATATGTCAAGCATTGCAACACATTTTGTGAATCTTTCAAGAGATCTTAATGTATATTTAAACATATTATAGAATGAGAAAACTTTGATAGTTTTTTTTTTTATAATCATTTCACCACAAGTAAGGTGTTCTACTAAAACACCAGGGTTTGCTGAAAGAGAATGAGAAGATTTTAGTGAAGAAAAAGGATAATAAAAGAACAGGATTAAAGAAAACATATGATGATAATTGACATTGCATTTAAATTTTTGCAGAAATTAGGTGACAGGGAATCAAGAAACAGGTAAGTGCAAGAAAAGAAACTATTAGAATAGAATTTACAGTTAGATCTGGCTATTTCAACAGTAAAACAATGCAACCTAATTGCCAATCTTGTAGTATGACAATTCTATTTCCTTTGGCCTTTTTATAGGCTATGATGGATGCAGCACTTGTTTGGGATGTTGATGGAGATGGTCTAATTGAAAATGGAGGATTTGCTGATCAAACCTTTGATGCTTGGACAGCAACAGGAGCCAGGTGAGTTCCATATTTATCCTGATGCTTTACAAAATCCTAATTCTCTTGCAAGAAATGAATCAAAATTTTATGCAAGCTTTTTGCATTTTAGTCTTCTTGCAATCTGTTTATTTGTATAAAAAGTTAATTATTCGTTTTAAAGTGTTTCTGACTCAATTGTAAGCAGCTATTTGTTTCATCTCTCGTGTACACTCAGATAATTATAAATGCTATACTTAACAATTTAAGTCGTAATTCAAGATATTGTTACCGTCTCTCTTAGATTCTTGTAGATATTTGACTGGAGATGGTTTGTTAGCTGAGACAGACATATTTCTTTCTAGCACCAATTGTTTGTGTTGAAGTCCAATTTAGAAAAAAAAAAAAAAATCAATGTTTAAATGTTAATTTCTGAGAAAAGTAGATTTGACACAACACAGTCTTTCTATCCCAAGTCTACTTTACCTCATTTGGCCTTGTACTGGACTGAGCTTATGAAATAACTATTTTATGTACCTTACTATTACCTCACTAACTGTGCAAGCTATTACTACTGCAGTGAGTTCAATACTCACTTGTTGTCCCCCCGCATCCTGCAAAAAAAAAACTTTGGTCAGACTAAGCTTAGTAAATATCTAGTAGACAGCATTTGATTAAATAGAATTTTTGTGATTATATAAGTATTATGTTTAACAAAATGATTTTGCTCATATACTAGACAATCAAAGCTTAGTTTGTTGATACAACTTACCTTCAGAACATAAAATATATGTATAAGAGGATTTTCTTTTATAGTGCCTACTGTGGAGGAATGTGGCTTGCAGCCTTGCGTCTTACAGTAGAGATGGCAAATATTCTTGAAGATTCTGAGAACCAAAAGAAATACTCAGAAATACTAGAAAAAGGAAAAGCAGCTTTTGAGAAGAAATTGTGGAATGGTAAGTTCAGCTATCTTCTAATTTTGTGGTGGAAAATCTTAGCATAATATTTGTAATTAACTTGGTTAATACAAATTATGAAATCTTTTCTCTAGCAAATAGGTTTTTACAGACTGGAGTTGCTAGTTGTGAATCCACCCAGTTTTGAATTCAGAGTTGTCTTATGGAATGCTTGGAAAACAAAACTAGAGAAACTAGTTTGTCCTGCTATTAACCCATAGATGGAGGAAAGTGGAATGTATTCATGCCTTTCCAAGGGTATTTTTGCACCTCGGCCTCAGGTGGAATTTAAATTTGACGCACCAATCTGATTTTCATGGAAAGAGAAGAGAGAACATCAAATCTCTTATCCAAGTATTATAAAAAGCACAAACAAAAAAAGACTAGACTTTTACTCCAGTGTGAAATTTGAGTGAAATGTACATTTATTAAATGATATAAGGAAAAATAATAGCACAGAATATAAAATTTACAAAATTAGCCTGCACAAACTTTTCCTTTCTGTGCCACATAATTAGGCAAGATAACAAGTTCTAAATACAGTTGTTGGGCTCATAAATCAATTATAATTCTCAACAAAATGTTCACTTTGATTCCTTTGACTTTAGAAAGGAGTTTAGAAAGTTGACAATTCATAAGTGTTGCTGGGTTTCTTTTAGACACTAGTTTTATAAATTGAGGTAAAAAAATTAATTCTCATATTTTCATAAAAAGTTCAAAATAAACCCAATTTTGTGTCAAGCTTTCACAAGTAACTATAGAAAAATATATTTCTGCTTTCATTTTCTTCTGTTACTTCCTTTTTTTTTTTTTTTTTTTTTTTTCAGTGTCATAGTAGGTGATGTCTTTAGTTTTTCTTTTATTCAGATCCCTGAAGCTGCCGCAGTAATTTGCCAGTGAATCCCTTCTTTCTACTTTCTTCTTCATTTATGTTCAGCTCCCAGCAACTAGCCAAAATCTTCCTTGTGAATGTCATCCTTTCTGCCTATCTTAAATACCCACTTATCAGCTCTGATTTAACTCAGAAATTTGATATGATGGAGCCATGACTTACCTTCCCCATTGATTTTACAAATAACAAAATGTATTTCTTTAAACCACACCTGTTTGCAAACTTTATTTAGGCAGGGTTTGAGACTATAAAACTTGGGCCTCTTTTTTTTTTCTTTTTTTTTTGGGGGTTTTTTTTTGGTTTTTTTTTTTTGGTTTTTTTTCTTTGTCACTCTTCATTTTGGTGGTTCTTTTACATCAATTTTAGCCTCATATAGACAATGTTTTACACAGCAAATTTTATTCAAGATATTTCTTACTAACAATATGGCTTCATTTATAAGCATTATTTAAAGAATTTGTTACTATCTTTACCTTCTTTTAATAAATGTTTCCTTTTAAACACTTGCCTCAAAGTGTAATCAACACTCCTAGTCCACTGCTTTTATTTTTTATTTACCCTTTATTTTCATATAATTTTACATTTCTTTCTTTTTTATTACATAAGATTTTATAGATTACCAATATATTTGCACATTCATCCATCTTATAATTTTAATTGGATAATGTTATATTTTTTTAATATCTCATTTAACTAAATGAAAACTAACACAGTATAATTAAACATAATTTAAAAATAATTAGAAAATTAAAGTAATTGTACATGATATAAAGATGAAAGTGACTAGTTTGTCACTATTAAATAGATGTCTTTTTTTTCTTTTCTTTTTTTTTTTTTTTAATAAAGATTATATTTTCTTTCATTTAATAAGAGGATAGTACATAATACATAAGGCTTAGGGCCATATCTTGTTGAAACACCAGGTATCGTACAATCATCATGGTTAAGCAACTTGTACTTGGATATGTAATGCACAGGTGACATCATGGATGACAGTTCCAAATGAGAAAGTGGAGAGTTGAGTTAAAATTTCAGTCAGGTTCGTTACATGCGAATACCCTCAGGCAATCATGAATCAAAAGAGACATGATCGACCAAGCATTTCATATCCACCCCAATCAACACACATTGGGTCAGCGTGGTAAGGTAATGGCCCATTCCTCCCCCATGATCTGCGTCCTACAAAGGACCTTCACAGGCTGAGATATGATATAAAACAAAGTGCAGATCTTGAAGAAGAAGAAAAAAATTTGTATGTTTTTACATTTCATATAGGCTTATGGCCATAACATATTGAAACACTGGTGCTCGTATGAACACTGAAGTTAAACAACATTGAGCCTGGTCAGTACCTAGATGGCTGACTGCTTGGGAATACCAGGTGCTGTAAGCTTGGATGTGCGGGTGGTGTAATGGATAATGGCTTAGAATTGTAAATCCGTGAGCCTAGTTCTAATTCAAGTCAGGTTCATTATATTCACTTACATACAAATACCCTTAGAAAAGTTATGAATCCATTTCTTATCCCCTTAGCTATGGGTTAATTAGTAGGACCTTGTATCAATATAAATCATTATCTCAAAAAAATTCTTACAATCTAAAAATACTTTCTGGCTTTAAATAACCTGCAAATGGTTAAAACTTTAAAAAAAAAAATAAATTCATTCTTAATATAGTTTTCATTACAGACTTCATTTTATTCACTTGCAAGTACATTGCTTTATAAATGTTCACCTTAATAATAAGAGATCACTTTTGAATAAATGTTCATGCACAAACCAAATACATGATCAAATGTATTTGTCTTTAGTTTTTAATAAAAAAAATCTCTTTCTTACTCTTAACAAATCCTAATTTCAGGTCACTATTACAATTATGATAGCAGCACAGCTCCTTACCATGACAGCATCATGGCTGCTCAGTTAATGGGTCAATGGTTCATGAAGGCATCTGGAATTACTGATGACTCGGTAAGCAGATTTATGTCTTCTGGTACTCATTAAACGTCATTCAGCAATCCTGTTTTTTTTTTCTTTTTCTTTTTTGTTGTTTTTTTTTTTTTTTTTTTTTTTTTTTTTTTTTTTTTTTTTTTTTTTTTTTTTTTTTTTTTTTTTTTTTTTTTTTTTTTTTTTTTTTTTTTTTTTTTTTTTTTTTTTTTTTTTTTTTTTTTTTTTTTTTTTTTTTTCTTTTTTTCTTTTTTCTTTGTCTTTAGTTTATCTCCTGTCTATGTAAGTTTGGTATTTAGCTCTTGTTTCTTTTAACAGTTTCATTTCATCTTGGACCATGCAAAACTTTGCTTCTTTGACCTTTCAAACTTAGTTGGATGGGATTGAAGTTTTTGTTTTGTTTTTTGTTTTTTTTTGTTTTTGCAAAAAAGAAATTAGTCTGATGTATTTTATTTGCATTTCCATCACTATTTCTTGAAGAAACATTTGCTCATTGCCTTATTCAAGCTATGTTTACTGAGGCCAAAGATGTCACCAGTGAGACTAATTAATTTTAACATTGACACTTGACAATTTTATGTATGATACTTATAGCCAAACTATACATTTAACTATCTTGCTATTATTACTACTACAACCACACACATTATGAATGCATGCTGAAAAGTTCTCTGTACTACCAAGAAGTGATTACAAAACAAATTTTGGTTATTTTTATCTTCAGTTGGATTAATTTCAAACTGAACCTTGTTTGAAATTCCCTGATGATTATTCAGATCAACAGACACCTGAAAATGGCCAGAAGACACAATGGCTGAAAGAAATAACATTAGTCTGACTGTAAATAATATAATTAAGAATAACTCCACATTCCAGAAATTCAAATTCTGATATTTGGCCAGTTTGTGAAGTGGGTTTAGCTAAGGTTTTTCAGCACTCCATGTGCTCCTTGATGAAAAGTATTCTATTATCATTAGATGATCAAAGACTTTCAACAGTATAAAACCTACACATTTTTTTCTACTACTACAAAACCATCAGAAGTGTATCTCTATTAGTAAGGGTAAAGAGTGAAATCAACATAGTGGTCTAAAAGTTGTTAAAAGCTTGTCTACTATATGGATTTACAAAACCAGCCAGTAGAATATATATGCAGTGTTTGGTGAAGGTGAAGCTAGTGACTCTATTGATTACAAGTGTTTAAGAAGAATTTTAATTGGAAATGAATCACTTGAAGATGTAGTTGATAATGGATAGCTGATAAATCATGAGAAACTAAAAACATTGCATGAATCTGTGGTATATGTGTTCATTTCAAAACATTGTCCCATTTTATCGGAAACATAGGACATAAAATGAATTTTATTGAGGGTTAAAAATAAATATTTTTATTTATTTTCTTTAGAATGATGAGTGAGTCCTTTGGTATTTTGCGTAACAAAAAGTTTGTTAACCAGACATATATTGGTACCAGTCTGGAGAAATGTCCGTTAGCAGTCATTTAGAAGTAAGACCATGATAGAGGTAGTAGTAATGTGAGAAATTAGCTCAGTGTCATTTTACTGTGTTCTTTTCAGCCCAGAAACAGGGTGGAAATGTCAGTAGCCAATTGCCACAACTGCTTCTCCTCATGTCATGCATGGCTGTATTCTTTTTTTTTTTTTTTTTTTGGTCTCTCTCCCTCTTGTCTAGAGGTGTTAGGTTTTTATCCTTTTGAATAGCCTTGAGAATTTGGTGTGAAAATCAAAAAAGTCTGTGTCAATTTTTTTGATTAGCCAAATTATTTGATTTTCCAGCATTCCTTTCTTTTTCATTTTTATAACTGAAGATATGTGTGGATCCTCCCTGATTTTAGGTATTTTTCAGTCATAAATAAGTAAGCTCTGCTCCTGCAAGCTTCCAATGTTTTTGACTGGGTTCGGTCTTTTCTTCTTCCTCTTTTTATTTGAGGGTTGCCGTAGGTTGAGAGTAGAGAAAGAAGTTTAGAGAAAGAAAGAAAGAAAGATAAGGATTTTACAGGAAAGTGCAAATGCCTTATTTTAATTTGAATTCTTTTTATTTTTGCTTATGTTTTATTTCGATATTTTATTTATCAGGACTCGCTACAAATTCAATCCCTTTTAAACATGTCAGTCTTGCATTAAGGTTCACCACAAATAATGTGCTTTGTAACTCTAGATTTCTGTATTCAATAGAAATTAATTTTTTATTTATTTATTTTTTTTTTTTTTTTTTTTTTCAAACCAGTTAAAAAAAAAATACTTGCAGTATTTTTTTCTATCATGCATAAAATCATAAAGCCACATGTTTTAATCTCTTCACATTATTACTTGTTCACGATGCATATAGCAAAACCAGTTTCTGCATCTTCCTATTTATTCAAACTCAATGCATTATTATCTGGTTGATAATCTATGCTTCTTCTCTTTTCATTTTTCAACTTGTTACCATTTAGAGAATGAATATTCACTTGGAAAATAATGAAAGTATCTTTACAGAAAAATTAAAGGTTATTTATCCTCATGTACAGGATGCGATAGGTAAATTGTCGCCATTTCATATTTTTAATTTTGCACATGCACAGTATAGTAGGGTTAGTTGAGCATTGTCTGTGAGAAAAGATCACCATGACACAATTCACTCTGCTAAAAATTTGGAAATGGCATCCTGTACTGTTTGGCAGTCACACTGGAAGTTCCAATACAAACATTTCAATGTTTGGGAGTCAATTTGAGGACACTGCAGCAGATTCGGAAAGAGATGGATGATATATCCATTCAATATCATGATGTTTGGAGTGATTGCTAGTGATGACAATGTTATGCCTCCATTCATCATTCCACAGATCCTCAAACACAATATGGAGGCCTACATCAAGTTCCCTGAGGAGTCTGGATCAAGAGGATGGCTGATGGAAGACCCTATGTCTGGCAACAGGACTCTGCATCATGCCACACAAGCAGAAGAGCTCAGTCATGGCTGTCAGACAATTTCTGCAACCACATCACCCCTTACCTCTGGCCAACTAACTCCCCAGACTGCAACCCCCTTAATTACTATGTGTGGGGGTGCAGTTGAGCAAGAGACCAACAAAACTTCTTGTAACACCAAAGATGAACTGAAGGCAAGGATTGTGGCAGCATTCACCAACTAAAACAAGGAGACCATCCAGAAGAGTTGCAAAAATTTCCAAAGTCAACTGGCTTGTTGTGGTTAAAGCGATTTTATTGAATAAATGTATTCTTTTAGTATTTAAAGATATTTTTTGTGTAATTTTGGTAAATATATCTGTTAAAATAAGATGTCAGTGTTATTTTGATTTAGACGACAATTTATCCATCGCACCCTGTATTACTTTGACATTTTATTGATTTTATATGCATATGTCATATTTTTGTAAAAATCATAGTTTATTTATTTATTTATTTATTTTTATATTCTTCCTCTAATTTGCTTGCATACCCATTCCTAACTTTACCCATTCATCCACATTAGATTTGTTAATTTAATAAAAAGTATAAACCAAAATAAAATCTACAAACTAAATTTGGTTTGTAGGTTCAGTTCACCCATTGATTTTCAATCAAAAACACTTACAATTTCAGCAAGTAGTTAAATGTTGTTAGAAAAAAATTCAACTAGTTTGCTTTTAAGATTCATTAACATTTTTTTTTAAATATGTTTATATTTGCTTATCTTGCTGTGACATAATGGTTACTGTATAGTGAGTTTGATCCTTACTGGGTGCTTCTCACTTAGGACCTGACTAAGCTTAGTAAATATTTATATTTGGTTATTTATTTTAATTTTTTAAGTCAATCATTTTCATTATTTTTAATACTAGATTTTACACCATTTTCCTGTTGTTTCTTATTACCACACTCGAGTCAATACTTTCTTTCACTGCTAAATTAAACTGCATGAAAATTTAAAACATGTGGCTTCTAACAAAATTTAAACTCTCATTCAATATCTATGCAGTATATCTTTTGCCAATATTGCCGTAACCACTTTGGACATGGTAGTTTTGTTTGGTTTGTTTTACAACATATCAACCTCAATGGGTTATTTAATGCCAACAAGCTTTTTATTGCTGTTAATATTTTTTCCTTCAAAAATGTATTGCTGGTAATTTTTTCAAAAATACATTGCTGGTAATAATTTTTTTAGAAAAATGTATTGATGGTATTGAAATCTCATTTTACACTTTCATAGTGTTTTGAGCCCAGTAAACAGTTTTCACATTATTATTTCTTCATATGGCATTTTTCTTTCATATTGTTGACTTGTATGCATGCAGCACACTCTTTCCCAGCTTTCTGTGAATACCAACAAGGTTGAGGATTAAAATGCAATGTGGTGGGGGATCACTGGCCAGTCACTGGAAAGTTAGGGGTCATGTTTACAATTATTTAGGATCTTGTTTTTCACAGAATTCAGTAGTTCTAATATTTTTTTTTTCTTAAGGTTTTCCCTCCTGACAAAGTTGAAAGTGTTTTGAAAGTTATATATCAACACAATGTAATGAAGATCAATGGAGGAACATGTGGAGCAATCAATGGCGGCCGACTTGATCGGAAGAAAGAAACTAGCAATTGTCAAGCTGAAGAATTTTGGGTTGGCATTGTATATTCACTTGCAGCTAACATGATACAAGAAGTAAGTACTGCATAAGAAAATTCCTTTCATTGGTACAACTTTCATTCTTCAACTTATTCTGTATAGAATTATTTCATCATTGGAAATGAGATACCCTTTAAATTATCTTATTTGCTTTTTTCTTTTTTCACTTTCATAAAAATATTACATTTTCACTTTGAAAATGTATTTGTATTTTTATCAAGGATTTAAAGAATAATGATTCCATTTAGAATATATAATACTTGTAATTCCCCACTACAAAAATTGTAACATGAAATACTCATTTACAAAACAATGTTATCCTAATTGTTAAAGTTTAAAAGGTTGCATTCATTTACAAAGAGTGGCTAAAATGTTTGCTTTTGAAAAGAATTCTTTAAAACATTAAGTCTCTCTCATGCAATGAATTATGCAGTTTTACTTAAATTTTATTTATTAATGAGAAAAAAAATTATAAGTCTCCACTATGTGAAAATTTAAATTTTGAGAAATATTTTAAATTTTTGAGAAATATACTTTTAGAATTAAATTCACTTAGCATATTGTATTGAAATGATTTTTCTTTCTAAATAATACAGATCAAATTTACTATAACATTTACTGAATGCATTTTGCAACATGTTTTACATAATGAAATAAAACTAAATTCTTTCCTGTCAATGTTTGTTTTTTTTTTTTTTTTTTAGGGCCTTTGTAAGGAAGGATTCCAGACAGCATGGGGTGCCTATCACATGTGCTGGGAGATATTAGGGTTGGCCTTCCAAACGCCTGAAGCTTATACCACTGACAAGGTCTATCGCTCCCTTGGTTACATGCGGCCTTTAGCCATTTGGTCAATGCATTGGGCTCTCCTCAAATTTCACCCACAATTATTCACTTCCACAATGCAATCATTGACTTCATGAGAATTATTTGGTGTTTGTTCAGTTTTCAGCAAAAGCAATTTCAATCATCAAATTCATTTTTTCAAGGCAGCTTGAAAACCCGTGTTTAAATCATTGTTAGTGACTTCTTTTGTGTTGTTTGTTTGTTTTTTTTTTTTTTCACATTGAAAATTTTTCTGCTGTTTTATGTTCATTTTTTTTTTTTTTTTTTTTTTTTGTCTTTCTGTTGTGATTTTTCACTTTTCTAACTTTCCTCCTTAAATTTCAAGTCTTTTTCACTCAAGTTGTATTTCTACCAAAACAGTAATTATACTTTGATTCTATATCAAATGTATAATTCTATTCTCGTTCAGTTAGCCCAATGGTAAATTCAATAATGGTTGACAGAAAAGTTTAAAGCTTTTATTTCATCCAACAATTGTGATATTTATCACATATTCAACAAACAGCAGGAAGATTAGAATTCCATCACTGCCTTTTCAATTTTTTCTTTAATACATTTTTGCCAAATTAATTGGTGTAAATAATTATTCACTTTTTTTTTATCATTACAGCACATTTTAAATTTTTATAAACATTTTGACAGGTGATAAGTGAATATAGCTTTCTTTTTCTTTATATAAGATGCCTTCTCAATAAAAATAACAAAATAGTTTATGCTTAATAAGATAGACGAATATGTTCTTATGGAAGAAAATAAATCTTTTTCGTAGTCTCTATACAAATGTCTTCTATATTTATGAATAAAATTAGAATAATACTGAATTCTCTCTGAAAGTTTCAAATATTTTGGAAGATTTCAAATGTTGTCAGAACAACAAACTCCAAAAAGAATAATTGTTCATGATGAATATTTGTGTTTTATCCATTTTATAACTGGCTTTGTTTTAACCTGTTTGTTTGTTAATTGTAAAGTTAGGAATACTAACAGAGAAACAGCTCATATAAAATATGGAATCACCTATGTTACAATAACTGTTCTCAATGAGATTGTCTAACCAGTATATTTGCCACCATTTCTTTTCTGTTTGGTAATCAAAACCACTTTTGAGATGTGATTATAAATCTTTATATATAAGATTATCTACTTACAAAAAACATCTTTCCTATTATTATTCTTTGCTGCAGTTTCTGTCTTCACCAAGCATTTATCAAATGAAAAAAAATAAGTGTGATCATTTTTCTTAAAAGAAATTTTATAGAATTAAGATTTATAAAGGATTTTAAGTAGGAAAAAAAAAACTTTAATTCTTTCTAGATGGCAACATTAGTGTTGTTACAGTCAAATTTTTATAATTTGAAAAATATGACTTATGTTTTCAACTCAATTTATATTAACATTTATTCTGTGTTATATTATAATGTACTAATTTATAACTGTGATACATCAATTAACTCATAATTTTCATTTTTGGTAAAAGTTATTTTCAACATTTTCATTTTTTTCATATCTGTTTTCTAATTTGAAAGAGTGTACATCATAGACTGTCCAGCTAATTCCATAACAAAAATTGTACTTAATGAAAACAAAGTAATTGCTTTGTCTTTTGCAAACTTTTATTACTTTTTTTTTTTTTTCTCTCATTGAGTTATGGAGATAATTGGCCTAATTTTTTCATTTGTATTTTTTTCCCTACATAGATTTAACTTTGCTCTTTCTTTTCTTTTTCAGTTTATATTTATAACTACCATTGATAGCTATAACTTATTAATTAAACATAGTTTAAGTACCTTTTTGTAGATCTAAAAAGGTGTAAGTAATTTTTAGGTTATTTGTTGAAGCCTACATGTTTATTTCTGGATGACTCTATGATTTTAATAATACTGTAAACTGCATTACTATGGATAAACAAGTAATATAAAAACAAAAAGGAGTCATAAAGAAGCAAATCTTGGTTAAAAAAAAAAAAAAAACCAGGAAGCTGTGAAAAAACATAATTGCCACATTCTGAAGGTACTTGGTACACAGAATCAGAAAACTTTTTTATCAAATCTTCAGTTATGAATGTTCTTAGACTGTAATAGAAATGGTAAATTTTAATTTCTGTCACTTCAACTCATTAGTTGTTCATTTTAGGACATTTTTCATTTATGGTAACCAAATATTTTTCTCAAGTTTAATCTTGCTTTTGGGATATATTAACATTTTTAAAGTTTAGTTGTTGGTAAAAAAAATTACTTTCTTGCTTTTCTTCGACTGCTTTTGTTGGTTTTAAAAGGCTACTTCAAAATTACTTTGTACTAATTCACTCTCTTGCTACTCATAAATTATGTTTTCCATTATTTCAGTTGGCATTGTTTATCTTTGTATAATTGTTGGATTGTCTGTTTAGATCCTGTAATTCTAGGTTAAAGCATCCTGTATAAATTGGGCATTGTTTTTAAGTGTAACTCAGCTGTTTTCTGCAAGTTTTTTTTTTTTATAAATTCTCTGAAATGAAATTAACAGTTAAAATGCTTATATATTTAGAATTTTTTCACAAAATCAGGCCATCCCTATAAAGAAGAATGCATCTGAAGAAAGTTATGACTGCAATCAAACATTTGTCAACATTGATAGTTTCTACAAAATATATACAATGCAATAATAACTGATTATTAAATAAAATCCTTCTCAATCGTGAACAAAGCAGACTTATTTGTTGCATTGTGATTGTCAGTTGACTCAAGGTGGTGTCTTTTCTCCAAATTTACAACCAACAGGACACATTTTATATCTCTGGTGCTGTTAATCCTTTTGAATTTGAAACTACAAACTGTGATATGTACCATTTTTGATTTTGAACTCAACTTACAGAAATATGTAAGTTTAAATACTGTCTCGTGAACAAAACTTCCTGCTATTATTTAACAACAGGTCTGCTTTGGTCATCGGGGGTGGGGGGGTTGATATACCCCCATCTGGGGAAGATATTAGCTATTCTCACCTTCAGATCATTCTTTCTCATGCAAAACATACTTGTCAATTGTCTTTGTTCTTAGTAAACAGATATAAACATCTGGAAAACACAATTCAGGGAAAACCACATTGTCTTCCAAATTTTTCTGCTGTGGTTTCATTTTGTTTCTCTTAGCCAGATTATATAAAATTGACTTCAAATTTACCACAAATAGCAGCAGCCTTGTGGGTGATGAATTATTTTCCACCCTACAATCCCTTTCCCACAAACAAAACTTTGCAAGTCTTTCACTATTTCTGATGAGCTACATTCCTTAGTTCCACCAGTTCCGATCTTCTCAGCTAAGACCTGCCATGTTACATATACTGGGACAAATCATCCTCATTCCCTTTGTAAGGAAAGCTTGAAAGCTGCTACTTTGTGGAACAAACTCCCGAGAGGATGTTTTCCTGATTAATACATTCTTAACCTATTCAAGTCTATGGTTAACCATTATCTCTCCTCTATAACCTTATAAACTGCACCTCTTCCTCTTATGCTCATACAACCTCATTCAGTAACCCTCTAACATGAGTGGCTCTTGGGCCCTGTATTGATTGAACATTAATAAAAACAGTTTTCTGTAGACCGTTAGAATAAAACTAGGAGATATGAATTCAGCCTGCATGAAATTGTTTTCAAGTTTGTTCAGTATCTGTTGTTTTTTTTTTCATTTTTGTCTACTTATGATGAAAGAAAATTCACATTCCAGCCTTTGTGCCTCTCTTCAAACTGAGTGGCCCTCCTCTCTCCATCAATGAATATCACAATCTAGTCTTGTAGAATTCAAGTGATAGATGTTCTCATTTTTTATTATCTGAATTTTATAGAATGACAACTTGTTATTGTCATCTACATTCAGACTAATGTCTTCATCTTTATCGTAATGTTTCATCCATTATGCCCTTTTCAAGTGTTTCTCAATATGAGTGACCTTCAACGAATTTCAAACTGAATCCTTTGTTTAATCTTATGTAGCTATATCGTTCTTGTTGCTGCTATCATGTCTAGTAATTAGGAGTTCAATCCCTGGGTTAGGTAGTAGACTTATGCAGTATCTGTAGACATGGACAGTGGAATGAGAAGAATCTACCTTGGTAGATTCAGTTTGAAATACCTCGGAGGTTGTCTGGATTGAGAGACACTTGAAGAGAGCCAGAGAGTACAACAGCCAAAACATTGTGATAATAATAATAAGGATATTAGTTTGAATGTAAATATTTTTTTTATTATGCAAGAAGGTTGAAATTTATTTGGTTTACTGTGTTAGAAGTTTTGACAAAAGTTTTTGGTTGAATCTAATTTGTGATAATTTTATAAGGTAAAGGAAAATAATCCATTATTTGAAAAATCATTAAATACTTTATGTACAAAGTGACATTACAAGAAAAGTGCAAATTAGAATTAAAAAGAAAATAGTTTAGTCATCTGAAGTCAATTAACATCTATATATTGTACTAATTGATTTTTGGAAAATTTTATTGATATTTATGTATTACCCTATTTTCAGAATAAATTGTATTTTTTTTTTTTTTTTGTGTGTGTGTTTTTTACAGCATCAAAATACACTTTATCAAATATTTTAAAGTGTTTATTTTATTTTCATAAGTGAAAAAATATAAAATCCATGACATTTTATTTCAAATTTTAAATTTTTCAAATGTTTATTTAAAATTATATTACAATTAAACTTTATTCTATCAGATATATATTTTATTTATTTTTATTTTTTTTTTTGGTCTGACCTGCTTTGAATAACATTTTAGAGATGTTTTTATTTCCTTAATACAAATCCATTTTATTTTATTTTTAAAATTCTTTTTACATAAAATTACTTTTCTGATGAGTCTGGTTCATTGGCAAAACATATCAAAATAGAATTTTTCCAAATTGTCTTATATATGATTAATTGTAAATACATATATAGGCAATCCTAGTTCTTTGTCTTAGGAATTGTACATTGACTGCACACTTGTATACTTTTAATGACTGCTTAATTTTAAAGATCTGAACAAACAGAAGTAGGGTTTATAGACATAGAATCTCTCTATTGACATTTCTTTGTTTTTTGAGAACTGAAGAAATGCTGCCTTTTCTCAAATTTATCAAGATACTCAGGCAACAAATGACTGTTCCCATTACATCCATCACAAAATTATGCCTCTTCATAGACTAAATTCTTACATGACTTCTTGTTTTTATTGTTTTATGAGACTGAATTTTATTGGTATATTCTTATTTCTAAGCAAGGCAAATATCACATGTAATTTCATCTTGCTCAACAGCATCTTTGTAATTTTTTTTTTTTCAAGAGTGAGTGAGAGAAAAAAAAACTTTCTACAATTTGTCATTTATTAGTGATTGATGCTTATTTTTCAAACTTATGTCTGTTGTATTCTGAGAGTGAGGCTTAATGTATGAATGTTGGACAAATGCTTTTTCTCCTCACCTCTTTCTTCCTGTTCTTGGAGGACAGGAGGTGTCTAGTTAAAAGGGCAGAGATTTGCAAAACAACCAAAGAATTGGCCATCAGAAAAAAATGGAACTTTTTCAAACCATGACTGGATCAAACTGAATAAAAATACATTTACACAAGAACAACACTTCTCTTTTACTTCAGTCATGGTAGAGGAACTCTTATTATTGTTACTTTATATAACTATGTATACAATTTCTACATCAACATACACAAGCAGCAAATCCAGTAGATTATAGTTACCAAACCTTTTATATATATATATATATCTCCTTATTTTATTTTTAATGATATAATTTACTTAAGCCTGGGCAGGGGGAAGTATCTACTTAATTCATATGTTGTTATTGTTTACATTAAGATATATTTCATGAGCAGAAATGATTGACCTAGAAAAATTGTCAAAGGTGTCTGTTTAAAAACAGTAATTTGAACTTTGCTAACCAGATGCTTCTCTGTGGCTGAATGTTTAACAGCATGTCAGATCAAATGACACTTTCCATTAGGATTACAGGTTCAATTCCTGTCAGAGAGTGCATATTTTCTACAGAATTTCTCAAACATTCAGACCGGTAAATGTAATTAATACTGTTTAATTAAAAAACTGAGCATTTATTTAAATAAATTATATCTATAAAAATAATAGAAAATATATTAAATAATTGTCAGACTTAATCTATTTCATATATATATATATATTACACAAAATTTGCATGAGTTGCCAAGCTATTAATGATAGAAAGTTAGAAACACAGCTTTCTACACCTCTCTCTCAACTCATGGGTATTTTGTTCAGCAATGTAAGCTACTACTGTTGTCACTACACTGAGCTGTTAATTCAGGCTTAGGTCTATATTCATTAGATAAGTTAACTCATCCCACTTCCTTCACGTTTTCAAGTTCATGAAATCTAAATGAACTGAGGTAGCCAATTTGGGGAATGCGATATCAATGCCAGCACGGGACACAGGACACTGGAAATGAGGTTTAAAATATAATTTCTTTTGTTTTTACTCGTTAAGAGTAATGGTAATATTAGCTGTTTTCTTATAAGGAAACATTAGCCAGTGTCATTGACTTACACTTTTCTTTTATTTCCTTGCCATTGGGCTGGGGTCAAAATGTATCTATTCTCATCTCTTATAGTAACAATAGACATTTCCTTAGAAGCAAGCATTTGACATTCATTGACAGAGCAGCCAGTGCTACTTTTGGTTGAAATTTGTAAAATCTCTCTTAAATCAATTTTTCAGTAAAATAGATTTGAGTCCAGTAATTGTTATTGCTCTTTCCACTATTGATAGGGATTTCCTTCCTAATCTTTTGTTTGAAGTAGTGTAGATTGAGTGGTGTTCTTGTTAGAATCATTTTAGATACAAACAGTATAGAAAAAAAAATATGTATACAGCCAAACTACTTGCATTAGATTGACATCTGAAAAACTTAGTAAATTTCACTGGACTTGAGAGAGCACAAGTTTTATTCATTACAGTGTAACAAGATTACTATCACATGAACAGTTGTAACCGATTAATGTAACCTAAAATATGGTATAATTACAAAGATGATTAAGTTTCAAAAAGGAAACCTGAAAAACGCTAAACTGATGCTTAAAGAAAGTGTTCAGGCACACACACAATAATAATTAACACTTCACTGACTGACACATACTTAAAGAAATGGGGAAGAAATAGACCTTGTTTTGAGCTACAAAGGGCAGGGAATTGTGGAGTCATGATTGCCCAAATTATATATATATATATATATATATATATATATATATATATACATAATAGCTGGCCACTCGTATTCGAGGATAACCGTCTAATAGGGCAGCTCGGCAATCTCTATTGCAGATGCTTGCTCAGGCACATTTGTGTTTGTTCAACACCCACAGAGCCAACCTGTGGTTTATACTGCAACTATACTGAGCAGACCACACTGTTTCTGGGAGAGAGCATGTTATCTAGCGTGATCAACAATCTGAACAAGGCCAGCACACTCACACCCTCAGTCATGATGACTTATGACTTTGTGCTAGCACAGCTATCAATGGCCCCCAAGTGTTCTTGTCTACTCAATTTCACTCACAAGGCTTGGGTCAACTCGTGGCATGGTTTTCAGGCTCTTTCCAAAAGTGCCACATGCTGGGATCACCCACCCCTTTAGACTGATAACATCAGGAAGTCTACTTCCTGACAAATCAACCGTGGTTAGATTAGAACCTGGGTCTCAGTATCAGAAAGTGAATGTTTCAACCACTCAGCCATGCATTCATATATATATATATATATATATATATATATTTGAAAATTATAACAAATATGTTATAAAATCATTACAAAAATAGCTATTTTGTTTCAACACTTCTGGTGTCTTATCAAGTGATGGTGTTGAATATAGAATAAAGGGTCCTTTATTCTATATTCAACACCATCACTTGATAAGACACCAAAAGTGCTGAAACAAAATGGCTATTTTTGTAGTGATTTTATAACATATTTGTTATAATTTTCGAATAAATAATTATATTTGATCTCTGTATTGAGCACTCTTTTAAGAAATGTATTTATTGGAATCTATTCCATATACACCAATCCTATACTTGATATAGATGTGTGTGTGTGTGTGTGTGTGTATATATATATATATATATATATATATATATAGATATTAGTGGAAAATATACATACATATGAAAATATATCTAAAAATTTCCATACATGTATATTTTCAGAAAAAAAAATTTCCTAGAGGAAGGATCCAGGTAGAACTCAATGTCTAGGACAGAGTAAGGATATAATAAAAAAGTTAAACACTAATATTCCATGGTCATAATTTATTCCAATGGAATATTAGTGTTTATATATATATTTATATATATATATATATATATATATATATAATTTTTATTCATCCAACAGATTTTTTATTACTTAAGTGTTATTTTTAGTGGATATTCATATTTGAATAGATGCCCCATTTATTTGTTAAACAATATTTATTTTCATCTACTCTCAAACATTCATGCCAGTAAAATAAATATCCTGTTTAATAAATAAACAGAGCATTTACTCAAATACAAGTATCCACTAAAAATAATGTTTAAGTAATATGAGTGAAACTGGCATTTGTGTCATAAATTAAACTAACTAGTGCTATTTCCAAACTGGCATAGACATAATAGTCTACAATACAATCTGTTTTGTGACCTGGGAGTGTTTAGAGGAGTCTTTACTGCAGAATATCTGATCAAAAACAAAATACCAGTGACCATGAGAAATTGCTGTCAGCATCTTTATAATAATTTTTTTTTTATTTCCTGTAAAAGGCATTTTGCTGTTTTTTCTTTTTCAAAATGGAGCTGCACAGCCATGAAAAAATGTTACAACAAAGCAATAAGAAAAGTGTTATGCAAGGTTAAAATATTTGCGAGTATTGATTATACTGTCATTATTTAAAGTATGACAACTTCCAACGACTGAGTTTTTAATATATTATCTTTATGCTAAATATGAAATGTTTATGAAGTTGGAATTTTCATTGACTGTTACAGTTCCACAGATAACATCTCATATTCACAACAGCTGTTGTCTGTTTGATATTTATGTTAATGAAAAGGCAGATCTCATATTTTATGCAGCATTTATAACTTTCCATGGCTTTTTCAATGGAAAAGTATCTATACCAACCAAAAGATGGAAGTTATGTTAGTGCTTCAGTTCCAAGTTAGCATCAGTAAAATATATTTTAAATTATCACAATTCATATATACTGTGGCCCCCCTTTTTTTTTTTTTTTGTGTTACATACTGATAAATTGGTGTTTGCTTGCTAGCCAGAGGTTTTTGAATGCTTACAAAAAGGACTTGTGTGACAGCATTATTATACGTCCTGTCTTAGGTGCCATACATGATGTATGCTTGTGTGATCATAACTCTTTTCAGTTCATGATTGACTTGATAGAATTCCCACACTAGGCTGTTGTTGCTTTCTGCAGTAGACTGGTTGCCAACTAAGGCTACAGGACCCTGTTTGTCTTGCTGTTTAACCCATAGCTGGGGAGAAGAGATGGGTTCATATCTTTCCCAAAGGGTATTTGCATGTAAGTGAATGTAACAAACTTTAATTGAATTTGAACTCTGCTCTCAGATTCTCATTCCAAGTCCTTAAGCATCATGCCACCATCACTTGATTAGTTTGAATTCTGAGTAGGGAATAGAATTGACAGCATTCATCATGTTTATTCAATTACAAGTATATACTTTAAGTGTATGTTTTTAAGATGTATAACCTTTGATGCATCTAAGTGAGTTTTAATTCTTTGATTAAGTCTTCTATTTTGCATTTCTATCTCATCCCTTAATTATTTATCTTTTTCTGAAATACAAAAGAAATATTTCTTCCTATCCTCTTATAATTTTGCTGGTCAGCCTATTCTTGACCTTGCCTCTTATACATCTCAACAGATTTCTCCTGTTCAGTTCAAAACCTTTCCATTTATGTTTCAACATCAGAAATCTCTTTGTAAAACCAGGTGATATTTAGTAATATCAGCTGCCAGTATCCATATTTTTTGTTGCTTGAATTAAATGGTGTATATTTTGATGCCTGCATAGGTAATTTTTAATCAACCACAGTTTAAAAGTTGGTCACAGGCTGATCTTGCTCATATTTTAGCCTCAAAAGGCTCTTAACAGAGGCAAATATGAACAGTTTAATTAACCACATACATTCAAATTTATTTTATTTTCCTTCAAACAAATACAAATCATTTTCTATCACACTATCAATTGGAAGTGTGGTCAATTAAGAAAGGTATTTTCCTCTCCCTATTTTATATTAAATATTTTTTTTTTTTTTTTTTTACATTTTTGATGTTTTTTATTGCTTCAAACATTATGTTGGTTATTTCTATTTGAAATAGATGGCCCATTTTTTTATTTTATTTTAAACAGTGTGTTACATCAAATTCAAATATGATTAATTGCTATAATAACATTTGAAATAATAGAAGTGTCAGACTAAAAATAAGCCCCAATCACTACTTAACCTGTTCATGTCTAGGTTTAACTGCTATCTTCCCTACATATCCACATAAACTATGCATGTAACCCTCTACTCCAAGTGGCTCCTGGGCCTTGTGCAGAGTGAACATCATTGTATGAAAAAAATCCATTAATTATTTAGAACTTGTTTTTTGCTGTGCACAAAAAACTTTTTTTTTTTTTTTTTTTTTTTTTCAAACTATGCAAATGAAAGAAAAAACAATTTGAGTCTGTACCAGAAAGTTCTTAACCTAATCCACTTTTAAAAATCTGAGCAGATGATCAAACCTCAGAATTTATTGTGGAATCTTTTTTTTTTTTTTTTGCCAGATCCGAACCAGAACATTTTATATAAGCTTAACAGTATATACCTATTTTCTCTGTCTTACAATTTCAAGAGCTCATTTTTAGGTATATATAGTAAGGGAGACAAAATGAATTCAGAAAACTGTTATTACAAAATATTCTCTTTTAGTGATGTATTATTGATATTATAATAATTATAATTAATTGATCCATTTATTAGCTGTCATTTCCACTGTTTTTGAAATGAACCTAAGGGTTGTATCTTGGATACTTTGAGTGTATCATTTCAGGATTTTATATTTGCAGAGAGACAAATGGCAACCACTTATTTCTAAGCGTGGGCTACATTTTGAAAAATAAATTTTGCAGTGAAAAAAGACATACTGGGCTATCAATTTTTTCAGCTTTGTGCCCTCACCACTGAGAAGCAAAAAGTAACAAAACTTTGTGATTAATTTATTTAACATCTTTTAAATATTTTGTGTAAATTTATTTATCACAGAATAATTAGGATATATAATTAAGTTTTACAGGTTTTTATAAAGATTCTCCATTGTGTGAATTGAAATTATTTTATGAGATTTTTCACTTAAAAAATAAATTTGCAAATTTAAATTACTAAAATATAATGTCATAAAATAATTTTGGCCATCAAAGTAATATTATATAGAGAAATAACGATATGTTAATAGATTTGAGCCTTACCAAGCTACTAATTTTTTGGCATTAACCATGTAAAATGGGCTCCTGAGGGAGGGAGTTCATGTTATCAAAGGCAGCTTATTTATTCCCCCGCCCCAACTCACAATGTTTGCTTTAATAAGCGGGTATTTGATAAGAACACTGTTAAAAAAAAAAAAAAAAAAAAAAAAAAGTTACAATATAAAGAAAATTAGTCAAAAACTAAGAATTAAAATAACTATAGACTTTTATCAGTAGATTAGCAGAGAACTGTAATTAGTGGTCGTACTTACTTATTTTCTAACTACTACTACTTACATTCAAGTAAATCATGTGGTCAATTCTGGATCTTTGAAATTAGTTTTAATGTGGGGCTTGCTTTGTGGCTGAGGTAGTCGTATAATTCTCTACTTTAACCTGAAGCCCGTGTTCAAGCCCAGATAAACCAAGATTTTGAATGCTAATTTTCAAAGCACAAAGTTCTTTCTCTTTGCCTAGGAAAATTATCACAATTTTCTTCACCTCATTTCTTACTAATGTGCTTTTTAAAATAAGATTTACTAAACATAAAAAGAAATAATTTAGGCAATTTTTTGCTTTTTTAGATCTATATTTCTCAGATGTGGTATTGTAATTATTTACATCTTTATTGCCATATTCACAACATGTCAGC